ACCCGATGTTTAGCACGATACTGCTGATACTTGGACGACATCTTCTCATAAAGGCCCGTCCTTTTTCTCTCTCGAAGCTCTCTCCCAACCTCCAGGACGAGGGTCTAACAAAAAGAGAAGGGCAAAACTTAGAAACAAAATATAGAACGACGATTACCGCACCAACCCAACAACGAAAAAAAAAGGAAAGGCACCTACCTGCAGGGCCATACCAGTGACCTTCTGAGATAACTCCACGTCGCTCATCGCCCTAAGCATCTTGCTTTCAGGAGCGGCATATAGAGGAGCTAGAGTCGACGCCACCTGCTCTCTGTTTAGCAGCAAGTTGTAGTTCCCCAGAACGACCACATGACGGTCGGATCCGTCCATCCTAACCTCCACATGGGTATGGCGACCCATAAATTCATTAACATCCTCTGGGTCGATATCCGAACCTGAGACACCACCCTCAACAAGGTGCCCTCCAACGTTGGATGATGCACTACCCTTAACAGAGCGCACTGAACCAGCTTCTGGGCCAACTCCTTCCACTTGGGGAGACCTCTCCGACAAAATGGCATCGGTCATGAATACGGGCACAGGGGCTGTCCAGGACGCCCTGCTACCATCAGCATCTGTAGCCACGCCCTTCCCCAGCTCCAGCCTCCTCCTTTTCCTCGACAACGGCTCATCCCTTTTAGATGATTCATACAAAGGATGTGAGGCCGATACCGAAGAAGCCTCTTCCCTCGCGGGAACGACTCGAGACGGATCTCCCAATTGAATAGGTTGAGGATGACCCTCTCGAACAGACTCACTCAAGACAAACTGTGTATCTACAGCAGCAACGGCTTGTCGAAAGGCGGGGACTGGCGCCCTCCGCCTGGTAGCTCCTCGACTTGTCATCACAAAGGGTCGTACCATTAGGCAAGGTCGCATGACCAACGAAGTAGTAAGTAAGACATTTACCTGAGGAAACTTTAGGGCCATAATGCTACACGAAGGCAGGCCAAGTTCGAGTTTTTGCTGCATGAGGCAACAGGCGGGCTACCCAATCCCTGATACCCACAATGGGGCGAGGTGGACGGCCCATAGCTACAAAATGGCAAGCAAATAAACTTTACAGTGAATACAAACGAAAGGGGAACATAACGACTGACGGCACTTACGAGCCCCGTTCCACCGCTCCGGGAATCTGGCGAAGTTAGAAACGACGTGCTTGGTCTTGACAAAGAAGTACTTGTGCTAAAACTTGCGGCTCGCCCGGTCATCCGTCCCGACCACCAGCCCTTTCGTGCCACGAAGCCTCAAATGCACCATGGTACCCCTAAGGAAGCCAGGCGTGAACAGGTGCAAAAGGTGGTGGACAGAAACGCTACACTCCGCCAACTCCGCATACTTGGTCAACAGCAGAAGCACCTTGAGCGTGTATGGCGAAAGTTGTGTTGGGCAAACTTGGTAAAATCTACAGAATTTTTCCGCTAAGGGGAATAGAGGAAGGGTACAGCCGATCATGAAAGGATACTCATAGAAAGCGTAGTACCCAGGTCTGTGGACATCCACATAATCTCTCCCTGCTGGAACCATTTCTATATGAGCAGGAACGCCATACTTTACACGAAGGGCATCGATATGGACCTGCTACGTCTCAGAAAATACGGGGTTCGGGGTAGGAGGTGGATCTTTGAGGAAGTCACTCCGGGATAAGGGGTACCTCGGTAGTAGCTCCTCCACCATAGGAGGGTTGTCACTCTCTTCTACCACCACATCTCCGCTGTCAGAAGGAGGCACCATGGATGACGGGGTGGCTTCAGGAACCTCTTCACGAGAACGACGAGACCTCGGCATAATATCGCTTAAAATAATATCAACACGAAAGGAGGAAGGAAGAAGAAGCTTCATGTGAGGAACGAAAGAAGAATAGAAGAATATGAGAACAAGTGAGGAAGAATGAAAGGGGTCTTCAAGAGAGGAATGGGTAAAGTTTTTCAAAAAATCAAACCCTTCACCTATTTATAGGATTGGGTGGCCCCAGAATCAAGGCGACAGGTAGCAAAGCAGCGCAAGAATCGAAGCACCAAGCTGTCAATCCCTGCTTCTCGAAAACCTGAGTAAAGCTGATGCACGTAAAGCTGACATCACTTCCTGGAAAAGTGTACCACACGATGTTTCGCCGAGCATGATGACCATCTCCCATTGGCCACGTCGTAATGTCCCCACAGGTTAAATTTCTCCAAAAGAACGCATGATGTTCTCTCATCGAGGACGCGTCCAGTCGCAACTCCGACAAGCGGAAGGACCACGACCTATGATGAGTACAACAAACGACCGGGTACCTTCGAATCGGCGTCCCGAGGGAGACGACCCTAGGGCGAAAGAAGAGACTGTATGACCCTTGTAGTAGTGTAAGCCCATTTGGGGATATTAAGAATATTCCTTGTATTTTGTTTCTTAGAATTCGGAAGGGTTTCTCTCTAGTATATAAAGGGGACAAAAACCTTGTAAGGGGAGAGACTCTGAGAAGATTACGAATCTTGAATGAAAAGAAACTTTGCAACTCTCTTCTCTTTACCTATTATTATTCTAGAGATTATTATCTTCAGCTACGATTTACCCCTTTATCATTGATTGATTTGTTCAAAAAGGTTTTAACATCTTTTGAGTCAAACAATTGAAATGGCATCATTTTCATTTGTCTGCGAAAACAAAATACCTTTTTCTTTTTGGAATAAGTAAAGTTTTGCAAAACTGTGATTAATGTTTTTGCAAAAAGTTGAAAACCTTTTCGCAAGAAACAGAATATTTTGATCAACTTGTCAAGGTAGATTATCCTGCAAAAACTAATAAGAACACGATTTATCCACGCACAAAACAAACAAACAAAAAAAAAAAGTACCCCTAAAGTTTTTGACATTATAAATTCAGTCCACCGTTTATTAAACTTTCACCGAACATTCCTAATTATCTCACCCCCTACGGCCCCACCATTTAATACGATATAAATAACGAGATTTTTACATGGTTGCTTCCTTTTTAAAAATTATCTCACCCCCTTCGGCCCCATCATTTAATAATGTTTGTTTATTCCAAAACTAGCACATTATTTTACTGTTTTTGCACTTTCGTATTGATAACTCATTAACTGAGAAATTCCTCTGCATCAATACACTTTAATATACATTTCCTTTTCCCTCTCTCTTCCTTAATTTTTATAACACTTATACAACAATCATATATTCGATACATGTACTATTTATACGATAAATATACAACAAACTGAATCATCAAATTAAATATATGCCAAAATACATCATATATCACTATGTATATCCAAATAATTATATATAATATGTATATATCAATTATATATGTTGTATATAATATAACAGTAGTAATATACAAGTGGTATATTATACAAAATAATATTTATTCAACTATATATATACTCCATATATATCAATTATATACGTTGTATATAATATAATAGTAGTAATATGCAAGTGGTATATTATAAAAATAATATTTATTCAACTATATATATTCCATACATGAACTATTTATATGATAAATATACAGAGACTGAATCATCAAATTAAATATACGCAAATACATCATATATCACTATGCATATCCAAATAATTATATATAATATGTATAAGTAATATTGGAACAAATGGTATTAATATAATATACCATTTGTACTAATATACAAATGGTATATTATATTAATAATATTTATTCAACTATATATACTCCCCATATATCTATATATATATNGAAAACAACATAAAAGTAAATATATAAAGAAAACCTCTCATCACGTTCACAACTTCCCATACTTGAAAATTATTGTTCTTCTTTATTAAGAGAAAAGATAAATTAAAGGGGGTAAATCAAAAACGGAAAAAAGAAAAAGAAAAAGGGAAAAAGCAATAGGAAATGAACAATATTAATGTGGTCTAATGGTGGTACAATCTTACCTATAAATCAACTAAATGTGCAACGTACGGAAAAGATTGAGAGGTCCATTAATTAAAATTCATTGGGTTGATCATGTTTCTGCTAGGAATGTAGTTATTCAGATGTCAGTTTTATAATTACTTATTCCTGTTAAATTTATGAAATTTTTTGTTAAATATTGCCTAATTATGTTTTTTCCTATCATTTGAATGCATGTAATAAAATTAACATCGTTTTAGTTTAGCCTAATATCACTAGTTCGATTGTTCTAAACGGGTGTGGTAAATATTGGAAGAACTGAAAGTTCTTTTAAAAATGTTTATCAAACGGTATGTGTAGATATTTTGAAGGGTTACATCCAAACAACTTCATCCAAGAAATTCTTGCAATTTCTGTTATCCGAGTACGTCTCAGCTTCAAAAACAATGTTTGGTAAACTAAATTGAATTTTTTGGAAAAGTTCAACAGTTTTTGAAACAAATGCCACTATAAACTTCATCATCCCTCTTAAAAACTTCACCAGGGAAAATCATCTTCATTTTTTTATCAAACTCTATAGGCCTATCTGTAATATTTAACCACAATTTACTAAAAATGTTTTATAAGTACTAAATTAGTCGTGTAAAATATGGTCCGGACTTGTGTTTTCATATGTTGCCAAAGATATAATAGATATAAAAACCATATATATAGTATATACATTTCAAAGCAGCACTTCTCGAAATTGTACGGGGCCTGACCTAGAAGTTAATAAAATTCTATTGGAATTCAGCTCAAAAAATGATGCATGTGTTAAGATTTGTGCGTGTTAACCAATTCGCTTGCAAAGGGATTGCATGGGACCAAGTTTACGTTTGACAAGATTTGGAATCCAAATATGGGAAAGCTTCCTAGCTCAGAAGCTTCTGGAAGATCGACTGAAGAGAGAAGAAGGAGAAGAACAGAGATGAAGTCTCTAATTGAGGAAAATAAAACTCAAAATCAATTATGATGCAAAGTGTTGGTTATATACAGGGAGCACTAACTAACCAACCAACTGGAAAATGACAGCTAAGCTACAGCTAATAACTAACTGCTACAGTAGGATGTGAGGGAAGCACAGCCAACTTGCCCAGAATAGTAGCATGTTTGATCCCAGTGAGAGATTTTGTGAGGATGTCAGCTAGCTGATCACCGGTCCTTATGTGATGAAGCGAAATGAGACCTTCTTGGAGCTTGGATCTCACAAAGTGACAATCGACTTCAATGTGTTTAGTCCACTCATGGAACACAGGATTTCTGGCAATATGGAGGGTAGACTAACTGTCACAAAACACAATAATAGGCAAGGCAGAAGGAATAGTCAACTCTATAAGCAGTCGATGCAACCAGACGAGCTCACCAACAACCTTCCTGATAGATATGTATTCTACTTCTGCTAAAGAAAGTGAAATGGTCTCTTGCTTCTTAGACTTCCAGCTAATGAGGTTGTCACCCAATAAAATAATATAACCTGACACTGACTTCCTAGAATCAGCGCAGGCAGCCCAATCAGAATCACAATAGGCCTGAACTGAGAAGTTAGCATCACTTGACATGAAGATTCCCAAAGTAGGATCCTTGAGCAAGTACCTAAGCATGTGATAAGCAGCCTGAAGATGAGGCTCTCTAGGATCTTCCATATATTGGCTCAAGTGTTGCACTCCATAAGCTATATTTAGTCTAGTATTGGTGAGGAAGTTCAACTCCCCAACCAACAGTCTGTAAAAAGTGGGATCAGACAAAGGTGCTCCTTCCTTAGCTTTTAGTTTAATTGAGGGATCAAGAGGAGAGGAGACTGGTGTAGTGTAAGCAGTCATAGTCTTTAAGGAGATCAAGGACAAACTTTCTCTAAGAGATTAAAATCCCATTGTCTCTGTAGAGTACTTCAAGTCCCAAGAAGTAGTGTAGTCTCCTTAAATCTTTGATTTTGAACTGCTAATACAGGAAAGCTTTCAGCATTTGCATCTCAGCAAGATCATTCCTGTCAGTAGGACATCATCTACATAGACTCCCACAAAAACAACACAATTAGTAGTCTTCTTGTAGAACAAAGAGTAATCATGCATGGAATGACTATAGCCTTTGGAACACAGGGCTTCAGTGAGTTTAGCATACCACTGTCTGTTTGCCTACTTTAAACCATAAAGTGACTTGTTCAATATGCAAACTAGTCCAGGGAAGGATACTGCAAGACCTTGTGGAAGCTTCATGTAGACCTTCTCATGTAGATCCCCATGAAGGAAAGCGTTGTCCACATCCAACTGAAAAAGCTCCCAGTGCTTCTGGGCAGCAATAGTAATTAAGGCTCTAACATTAGTCATCTTTACTACTGGAGAATTTTTTTTTGTGTAGTCGACTCATTCCTTCTATGTATATCTTTTCACAACTAATCTGGCTTTGTATCTCTCTACACTCTCATATGCTTTATGTTTAATCTTATACATCTACCTGCAGCCTATGGCTTGCTTTCCAGCAAGTAATGGAACCAATGTCCAAGTGTTATTTGCATGAAATGCCTCAAATTCTTGTGTCATAGCCTGTTGTCAGGAAGGATTGCCTGGTGCTTCTTTATAAGAGAATGTCTCCATATCATTGCAAACACTTCTTACAACCTACTAGCTGTCAAGACTCAAGACATCATGAGTAATGTGATAACTTTGGGTAAAAAGTGCATTGGGAGAGAAGGATGAATTGGTCTGAGTGACTTCGACAGTCTAAGATGGTTTCATATTGGGCACATAATATATATAATCAGACAAGTAGGATGGAACTTTAGAGTCTCTACCAGATACTCTTTGATTAGGTCTTAGTGTAGGTAGAGAGGGCTGATTAACTCTTGAAGTAGTTGGAGATGATGTTTGTGGTGAAGTAGTGTTAGGAATAGAAGGTGAGTATATGGTGTGATTAGGTGACACTGAAGTATGTGTAACAGAAGGATCCCTTGGAGAAGTTGTGACAATATGAGAGGGGCAAGAAGGAAGTATATCAAAGTAATCATGTTGTACAGCAGTAGGAGGCATGGAGAAGAAGGAAGATGACACTGATGGAAGAGAGAAAGGAAAAATAAACTCATGAAAAACAATATCCATAGACATATAGATTTTCTTGGTAGTTAGACTCGGCACTTTGTACCCTTTGACACCAGAGGGATAACCTAAAAACACATGTGGAGTAGCCTTTGGCTCAAATTTGTCTCTATGGGATTTAGGAATAGTTAGATAGCATATACAACCAAAGCTTCTCAAATGTGAACAATTTGGTTTCTTTCCATACAACAACTCAAAAGGGCATTTGTTCTTTAAAGGTACAGTAGGCAGTCTATTAATGAGAAAAGTTGTTGTAGGTACACATTCTCCCTAATATTTCAAAGCGAGTTTGGCTTGAAATAACAAGGCTCTGGTAGTCTCTAATAGGTATTTATATTTTCTTTCTATAATGTCATTTTATTGAGGAGTGTATGGGCAGGTTCTTTGGTGTTCAATTCCTTTGGACTAGAAGAATAGAGTGGCTTCACTACTGGTGAATTCCTGTAGCGACCCGACTGGTCGTTTTGAGAATTTATACTTTGCTCAATAGTTTACGGGTGTGAGTAGCTCCATATGATGTATTTTGACTTATGTGAATCGTCGGTTTTGGTTTTCAGATTATTCGGGACTAATCTGAAAGATTGATTCTCAACTAGGGAGCTTTAAATTTGAAAAAGTTGATCGAGTTTGACTTTTTAGTATTTAACCTCGGATTGAAATTTTGATAGCTCGGTTAGCTCCGTTGGGTGATTTTAGACTTAGTAGCATGTTCAGATTATGATTTGGAAGTCCGTATTTGAATTTGGCTCGAAATGACAAAAGTTGGATTTTTTGGAAAGTTTGACCGAGAGTGGTTTTTTTGATATCGGGGTCGGATTTTAATTTTGGAAGTTGGAGCAGGCCTGTAATATCAAATGTGACTTGTGTGCAAAACTTGAGGTCAATTGGACGTGATTTGATGGGTTTCAACATCGGTTGTGGAAGTTTAAAGTTTTAAGTTCATTGATTTTTGGTTTTAGGTGTAATTTGTCGTTTCGATGTTGTTATTGTGTTTGGAGGCCGTGAGTAAGTCCATGTTATGTTATGGGACTTGATGGTATGTTTGGACATTGTTCCGAAGGGACTCGGGTGAGTTTCCGATAGGTTTGGGTTGTGTTGCGCTCGTTTTTTAATGTTTCGACGTTGTTTCTTCAAGCATAAATGGTAATACATTAAGCAAATAAGATTTAATTTCTGTTTCTATTGAAGTATTGGATCTGTATCGTAATTATGGAGCCATAGAAAAAAGAATCATCAAATTTGGACATCGTATGAGGAGTTTATGGTCATTTTATTAAGACTTGGATTGTCGAATTTTTCAAATAAATTACGAAATTGCCACTGACTTCGTATTTAAAAATTTGCGTTATTTCCAAATATTAAAACCAACATATTTCCTCCAATATAAGGTCAAATGGAGTGATTCAAGAGCCTAAATTTACTATAATTTCATAAGAAATCTATTGGAGGCATCAAAAGCGAGTTTCGAGATTATTTGGCATAAGAAACGAGGCAGAACAATGTTAAAATGAGAGTTTTGTTTATTTAACATATTTTGAGTTGGGGAGCTCGGAATTGGGCAATTCTTTAGGCGATTTTCACCATATGAATTGGGGTAAGTGTTCTCTACTCGGTTTTTGTTATATTCCATGAATCTATCTTCGATTTTAGCTTTTGGTTTATGAAGTTTAAAGAGGAGATTGGGGGTTTTGGCCTAAAGTTTCATAATATGAATTTTTGAATTTTGAACATCGATTTTGAGTCGGAATTAAGTGAAACTAGGATGGTTGGACTCGTAATTGAATGAGTTGTCGGATTTTGTGAGTTTTGTCGGGTTTCGAGGCGTAGGCCCGGGTGTGATTTTTGACCGGATTTGGGATTTTATTTAGGATACGATCTTTATCATTTGGAATTGTTTCCTTGGGATTTATTTGATGTATTTGAGTTGCTTTTATCTAGTTTTGAGCCGTTCGAAGGTCACTACGCACGTGATGGCATTTTTGGAGCATCGCTTGGCTTGCTTGGTATTGTAATTGACTTGTTCGAGGTAAGTGTTTTGCCTAACTTTGTTGAGGGAATTTTTCATCCTATTTGTCATTATTTGCGACATGCGAGGGTGATACATATATGAGGTGACGCGCGTATATGTATGTGCTAAGGTTAATCATGCTCGCGGGGGGTGGATTATGTTACATTTATGTTGTAGAATTTTGTGACCTCCTGCTCCATGCCTTACTTGACTCTTAGATACTAAGGACACAATATTAAATGAAAGAAATCAAGACTTAGCTTATTATAACTTGATCAAACTTGATGAAAATTCTGAGAATACATTGATGTGTCTAATTCGGTCATCTCTACGCGAAATTATTACTACATTACTACGGTCGATATTCTTAAGATACTAGACTTTATACTTGTGTTGTGGATCATTTGTGAGATTTGTGAAAGTATTTGAATAATACGGATCTTGAGGGTTATTCAATCATTGTTGACTTGGAAAGTTGTGATTGGGATTTGTTTGGAATATCTGTTAAAACACTCTCCTTGATGTTATTTATGCTTCTTGCCTTGTTGTCATTGATATACATATGCTTGGTAAGGAAGAGTAGAAAGCACGAAGGGTGATGTTGTGCCATTGTTTATACATTATCATGTGAGGGAGAGTGTACAGCACGAAGGGTGATGTCGTGCCATGTTATAAGAGTGTAAAGCACGAAAGGTGATGTCGTGCCATTTTATTTATACTGTTATGCTTTTATATTATCGTGAGGTCATAAAACTATGAGTGTTTCCGTGAAGGCGAGGATAAGGGACATGCATTATGTTATGATATCTGTTTTCCCATGTATATGTTCATGTCTTTACCTTGAGCTATTATTGTCACAATCTTAGATCTGATGTGACTTGTTGTTATTGTTCTGTCATTTATCTCTATATCAATTGTTGTTGTGTCGCTCATATCTTCTATTTGTTTAACTTGCAAATATCATGCCTATTTCCCTGCTTTTATAATTACACTCACGTCGTATCTATTTTGTTGCACTTTAGTACAAGTTCTTTTTTCTAAGTTAGTCATTCATGCCTCTACTTGTTAACTTGTAAAGATCATGTGTTTCCTTCTTATTTGTTATACCTGTATTTAGGTCTTCACCATGCTAGTTAGTTGAAGCTGATATTTCTTGTTTCCAATTTCCGTCATCATTCACATGCTTTCCGCTTAGTCTTCTACTGTTGCTCATATGGTTGTCCTTGTTCATTATTGCTAATTGCGTATTTCCTACCTTATAATTCATGTTATCGGTATTTCTGTCATTTGGTTGGTTCTGTTATACGTATATTGGGTGAGGATGAGATAAAACATGAAGGGTGTTGCCGCACAATTGACTTGATATCTGGGTACATCCCTCATGCTATGAAAGTTAAGAATTGACTGTTGTGGTTTGTTGGTTTCATTCTAAGGAAAAGATTGGTTGAGGTATTTTAGGATGCCAAATTGTGATCTCTGTTAACACTCGATTATTATTTTGCATATACGTTTTATGTATTCTTCTCTATTATTTTGTGGTATAGTTCTATTGCTGATTCGCAATGCAGGTTTTATCAGTAAGTGTCTTTTAACTAAAAAGTCTCATCACTACTTCGACGAGGTTAGACAAAATACTTACCAGTACATGGGATCGGTTGTACTGATACTACACTTTTGTACGATGTGTATAAATTTCTGGAGTAGAGTTGCTGGTGAATGTGGG